TTTTTAGGAGTGGAAAGATGAGTTGTGGTCCCTGCATAGTTTTCTTGAGGAAAATGCAGCTCAGGAAAATGAAGATGACGATGATTATCAGGACTTTGTTGAAAAGCTGTCAGCGCTGTATGGAGAAGAATGGAAAAACAAATCCCCTGAAAACCTCATGGATAACAAATATTTTAAAGAAATTCCAGAGTTTTACATATCCAGTAAGAAGAGATTGAAGTGTAAATCAGTAAGAATATATATTTTATATATCCCTTCATAGAAAGCATCTGAAAGAACTAAATGATAAAAAATTTCAATTATTTATGTAGTTTACATACCGCCTAGATCCAGTTTCAAGCTCAATAAATGTAAAAGTAAAATCAGTATATAAAGTATTTTGGTCTTGTTCACGAGTGGGGGGATAATGGAGTGTGAGATAGACGGATCAGGCTTTAATTCTGAAACATTTGCTGTATGTTTCTACAAAGGTTTGGCTAAGACATTAACACTCAGTGAACAAAATGTGACAATAGCATTTAAGATGAGTAATCTGGAACAACTCAGTGTCAATAACATGGGCCAGCCTTTATTTGTTTGTGGTAACCATGCCCCTGGCCATTATTTGAGACCTGGCTTTTATTTCATACTTAATTGATATGAACCTTCAAGGACACTTAATCATCAGAAAGGGCTGCTGGCCATCAAGGGTCAACACAAAACACAGAAAATCTATACTAATAATTACACTATTTGGATACACATACTTGCAAACACTGCACTGTCAAAACCTGACTGTGTTTAAATCTTTAAACCTAATTGTTCACTATGACCCACAATTTTACTTTTGTCTCCTCCTTTGTCTACAATTTATATTTGTTACTTTCAATGATAGTGTTTTGATTGCTCTTGTTGCATCTTATCCTGTTCTAATTCAATTAAGGTAAAGCAGTTTGAATGCACATATAAATAAAATCATTCAATAATTTTATTTTATTAATTATTGCAGGCAAAAGAGTTATCTGCAGAATTTGTCAGATACACAAGAAGTGACTCAACGGATGGAGAAGGTAAAGACTTAAAGAGCTGGTACTGGCCACTAGTGAAGTGTGTGACTATCAGGGTGCCTAATAATGATCTTCTCAAGCATGTCACACTTGTGGATCTTCCTGGAAATGGGGACCGTAACAAGAGCAGAGATAAAATGTGGAAAGAGGTAATGAAATGCAGTTTGTGTATTACTGTGAGATCTGGAAACTGTAACATTATGTAATGATAATTATTCATAATTAACTTCATTATGCCCCTTCAGGTTGTTGGAAATTGTTCTACTGTGTGGATTGTGACTGACATTAATCGAGCAGCAGCAGAGAAAGAACCCTGGGAGATCCTGAAAAGTGCCTGTAGCCTCATGGGAAATGGTGGCCAATGTCAGCAGATTCACTTTATCTGCACCAAGTCTGATGTTATTGAAGATTCAGATGATCTGTAAGTGATTTAGGATTGAATACATAGTCACATAGTGTGTATGTAATCTTATATAAATATGTAAGAATATAGGCAAATGGAAACACTGTACAATTGGTAATATTATTCTATTTAATTATTCCAGTTCCAGTAGGTCAGCTGAACATGAAAAACTGTGATATTTGTCTACAGTCAAGATATTAAGTCAACCTGCTTTAAGATATCAAGAGACTCCTGCTCTAGATGGAAAAACTCAACTAACTAAACTGAAAAAGCTGTCTCTAAATTGTTTCTCTAATTTTCTCTAATAATTACAGCAGTGCCACTTAATACAAACCTTTTCTTATAGTTCAGCAGCTGATGTTCGTGCTCTCATATTAAAAGAAAACAGTAAAGCCAAGGACAAAGTGAGAGAAAAATTCAGTAAACTAAACAGGATTAAGGTGAGTTGTATAGACTGAAAGAAAATTTTAGATTGTCTACACCTGCAAGCCTGCCTTACAATCATAACTTTTTTTTGTCAGACATATTTCAGTGATGAAAGTTTTCAAGTGTTCACAGTGAGCTCCAAAGAGTTTCTGAAAAAAAAACGTCTAAACGCAGACGACACTGGTAGGTGAAGTCTGTATATATGCATATTTGTTTATAATGGAAAGTGTATAGCTAAAATAAATATTTTCTTTTAGTTTACTTTAAACACTTTAAACAATCATGACTAATTGCATTGTCAGATATAAATTTAAGTATGTGTGAATATGTAAGAGACAAACAGCTTTCTTTTCAGAAATACCCAAACTTCAGAGTTTTCTGCAAAATCTCAATGACTCTCACTCAAAGACATTAAACTATGTGTCTGGAGCTTATGGGATTCTCTCTCTGATTCAAGGTGCCAGCTGTAGAGAAGTGGTAAGATCAAACTCCTTTCATTGTCTTTAGTTTTCTTAATTGTCATTAATGGACAGAAAATAATAATATTCATAGCAAATAAATTACCTTAAGAGAAACTAAACTCAAATGTGCGAAAACTACAAAGGCTACATAACCACAGTAATTAAAGGGTGTGTACTCGATTGCAACAGAATTGATAAATTAACAAAAGAACAATAAATGGGATGCAAACTTGAAGGTCTCTGGGACGTCAGTTTTTGACTTCCCACATGCCTTAAGGTAAGAATAGCTTACAGTGGTGTTAGACCTTAATTGGCTTCAATGACAATATGTCAAGCCTGGGACTGTTATTATCTTGATACAGTTGAGTTATTTCGAATTAGTGTACACTAGCCATCACAATTAGCTAAACTCTAGGCGTTGTTAATGTTATTTCCAGGGATACTAACGTTAGCTGACGTACTTGTTATTCCAAATTCCACTTGTATAACATTACTGATAGTAGTGTTCTTGAACTACTCATTTAATGTTACTGATGTTTGGCCAGCAATTACAACATAAGTTGAGCTCCTCACTTGAAGTGCCAACTTAACGTTATTTTGTGGTGTAGACAATGAGTGGTGTAGACATTGAGCTAATATATACCTACTACCTACCTACACTTATGATGAATTTAAACAATGCTAGTTACAGTAGAATAATTATGTTTCTTGCGAATGCCAAGCTCAATGAAAACGACAGAAACAAAACAAAACGAAAACGAAAACTGAAATGAAATGACCTTGTGACAGTTTTACTTATAGTGTTTGTGGAATCAATTTGTAAACATCATATTCTTGTCTTTTAATTGAGCAGTTGGAACCATAGTAGTAGCAAAAACCACATAAATTTTTTTTTTCTAGCACAAGTAACATAAATGCTGCTTTGAAAGAAATCCCAATCAGGTAGTATTATAGTTTCATTGCTTTAAATACTTTTGTTGTGTTTGATTTCAGGCTGATGGTAAACGTGAAGTGTGCACAGACCTTGAAGAACACATGAGGAAAGAGCTTGATAAAGTCAGAAAACCCATGGAGGAGGCTTATGAGGCTTTTGAAAAATGCCTTAGTCAGGGGGTTGAACAATCCAAGCTTTCATGTGAAAGTGTTGTGGAGTCTGTCTTATATCCTGTACGTATTTAAATTTGAATCAAAACAAATTATTTTGTACCTCAAATGAATACATGTTTAAAATGTTTCTTATTTGTTTTAGAGTGGGGTATCAGCTTGCAGTTTTCACAAGATATTGAAGTGTGTAGTTGTGAACAATGGCACATACAAACCAGAGAGCAAAACAGTAAAACAAATAAACCTCAATGTGGACTTGGCTTCATACTTGACTAACAGCATTGATGAGGAGTTCAGAAAGACCTTCCCGTAAGAAATGACTTAATGGGGACATAAAACCCTTTGTTGGTCCATTTTACAAACTATGAAGAAATGAATTCAATTAAAATCTACATTATACAGATAATGCAATATAATACATATAAAATACATTATTAAAACCCATCCTTTCCAATACTACCTTTTATGAAACATTTCAACTTCACGTTTCAGAAACGAAAGAAAAAATGGACCATTCAACGGGGTCATCAATAAATTTTCACTTGAAACAGAGAGGCTGATTGAAAAGTACAAGGATGTCGAACTGCAACTGATATTTCTCAAGACAGAGGTAAAAGATGAGAATACTACTATCCTATCCATTAGTCCATTATCATGCTGTTTGTGTTACCTTTAACTTTATTTTAAAATATGTTAATCTATACTTTGTTTTGTCTCTCAAAGGAAGAAAAAATTAAGACAATACTCAACTATGTCATCCGGGAGTATAAGAAAACAATCTACAGAAGTCTGACAACAACAATCGAGAAAGCCATGCAAGAATGCTACAAAAGTAAGCAAGAGAATCATCATATATCATTTGACACTAATAATAACACAGATTAACATTCATTGTGATTATTTTGTGTTTTATTGTAGAAGCAGCAATATTTACAGGACCTGGTTCGCTGAAAAACATGAGGGACACTATTGAGAAGCATGTACATGATTCAAAGAACATCATGTTTCAGCAGGCTAAAGATGAAATGTTGAACCAGCTGCGATGGATGAAGGTTCGTCACATTTTATAAAACTTCATATGATGATGATATAGGTAAACATGTTGTGCTGCACATCTTTATCCATATTACTAGGTCATCATTTACATGAAGGCTTTTTCTGTATTCAAGTGGAATATACATCATTCTAAAAGCTGCATTTGCTACTAAAAACACTGCAGGCACTGTCACAAACATTATTTTTTTTCCCTTTGCATGCATTAATTCATGTACGATTCAGTTAATCTTGAACACAATATTTTGCTGTGTGAGTGATAATACAATTTTTTTTGCTGACTTAGGAGTATATCCTAGAGAAACTGGAGACAACAATGCAGAAATCAATCAACCTTTCACTCAAAACAGATGGGGACTCAATCCTAGGTAAAGGAAATGTAGCAAAATAAAATTATGACAATCACTAAAAATACAGTACAATATTTTATTAAAATGAATAAATTAGCAAATGTACAATAGTGTAATTAATTGTGCATTTGAAAATAACATGTTTTTTCTTTTTAAGATGTTACAGTGGAGCTTGAAGAGGTGAAGAAACACTACAATGAACTGATGGGCCCAGATGAAGAAACACTAACTTAGTAAAACATTCAAATGTCAACATAACCGCCTGATAATAAGATGTTCTGAATAATGCTAACCATGCTTTTATTACACTGGCCCAGAAGCTAATCCACCCAGCCCAGCAACTGCACTGTATCCATGAGTGCAGAGGTACATTTTAGTAAAACTGATGATCTAACTGATGATTTAAACAGAAGCCAGCATAGATAATACTACTATTATACTTTTTATTATACTACTACTATAATATTACTGTTTGTCATCATTGTTCAATATCCCTATCTTGCTGATCTCTTTGGTGGATGTTTCAGACAGAAGTCCTCTTTGAGTGTTGTTTTGATATGTACTTTGAGTTTGCTGTGTGAACTGATGTCTCCCATATCTGTCCATGCAAACAATTTGAATCTATGGTTTTCACTCATTGTAAAGGAATCATTTCAGCCCTAATCCTCTCTTAAGTGGGCTCAGAGAGAGAAAGAACAATTATTAATTACTGCAGTCAGTAGATGCGCCAGAACTACAGCGATCACAATGTTAACTAGTAAATCAAAATCTGGTTTTCAAAAAAGGAAAGAGAGAAAAGAGAGAGAGAGGAAAGACAAAGGAAAGGATGTCAATCTATAACCCAGTTTTTCACCAAGAAAGGAGCCTATAGTCTGTGAGTGGTATTAACCAGTTGGCTTAATGTCCATAGGGAAATAGGATAGCCAGCTACAGACTAGTGTTAGCCTACATTTAATCACCATTTAATCAGTTCAGGGAAACGTTTAGCAAGATATTCATATTACATCATTGTCCCTGCCCCTTTTAGCAGACTTAACAACAGATGAGTCAGCAGCACCCCAGTTTCCCCATCACTGTACCCTCCCTGTCCCAGTGAAGAAGGTGAGCAACATTGTGTTCAATGACAGGCCAGTTAGCATCATTGCAGGGAGTCTGTGGGGATTCCTCTGTCTCTCTTGCTCTTTTTACCATTACAAAAAAAGAAAATGAAATATTTATTAATGACAGAAATTCAAACACATTAATAACAATTATTTTCTCACATAATGATCATTATGAAATAAATAACAAACAATTAACAAGATGCAGCTACACAGCATTTTTGGAGAAGTCTGCATTGCTTTACGTATATTTTGTACATTGCCTGTGACTGTTGCTGGTGGGGAGAGAGCTTTTAGTAAGCTAAAACTGATAAAAACTATTTGAGGTCCACTATGTCTCAGGACAGGCTTTGCAGTCTTGCCATGTTGTCCATTGAAAGTCAGTTGGCTAGAAAGCTTGACTTCAAAGACTTATCAGTGACTTTGCTGGCAAGAAGGCTCGGCGCTGGGCTCTTGATGAGTCAGGCTGAGCAAGGGCCAGTGATAGCTGACAAATGGCATGGCTATGGAGATTGGATATTACTACAAGCATGATGCCCACAGCCTAAAAAAACTGAGAACAAGATGTATGGCTGGACTGCCAAAAACGTGTTGAGCTGTTATTTGCGAGAAAAATTTGGGTTTCCAGGAGTCCTTTGTTCTTATTCATACCTTTTTAATTTGATGTCACTGGTACTGTTAGTTTGTTATGACCATATTCCAAACCTCAAAACCTTTTGATTTAGTGATCAGTTTATCTGTTTTGTAGCACTATAATAACCCTTGTGTGGAAATTTAATTTTACATGTCAACTTTATTTTCTTGTTGGAATATATGTGCAGCTAAGTTCATAAATCAGCTGTTTTCATTGTTTTGAGAGGATGATGTTAATTTATTTTGATTGAAAAGTTAATATATATTTAAGTTTGTTTGTTTTTCTTTTTCTAAATCTTTCATTATAATTACAATAATAATTAATAATTATAATTAATGATTAATTAGAGAATTTTCCATTTTGAAATTTTACAATAAAAATACATTGAGACTGTAAAAGATGACCTTTAGCACATTTTTTATGGTTGCTTTTAATCTTGCATCAAATAGTGAACTGCATACTGTTTGCAGACTTGCATGCATATACAAATCACCTGCAGTAAATATTGTGTTAGTACTAGTATTGAACCACAAGAAGCAAGACAGTTGCAAGCCTTTAATAAGAGTTATGTAAAGCTTTTGATGGGACACTTACGTCCTAGAGATGTAGATTTTTTTGTCTACAAAATCCTGGTGGCGCCCCTGGTTGTGAGTGCTGGTTCTAAACCTCAATACCTCATCAAGCTTTCTCACAGATGTTCTGATACATTGATGGAGCTGGTTTCTGGTTTCAGGTTGTGTATGTCTATGCATATCTCAATATTTTACAGACCATTTCTTACCTCCTATGAACCATATATAACCTGTTTGTCCATGCCTTTGTCATATTGTTAGAGACAGCTGGCTCCACAATGACTGCAGCAATCAACCCCAACCAACCTATTTATTTATTGTATTTCTTCATAACCCACATCACATTAGTGCAGGTGTGGTTGTTTGAAGCCACAAATGACCAAACAGGTGTTGTTGCCTTGCCCTGTGGCTAATGTCAGCTTATCCACCACCTGGCCCACATGGAAATAAAACCCTTTTCTCCAGTTGTATTTTGCATCTTTATTTTACTGCTGTGCTAAGATGTTTTGTGTAGACGTAGTCAATACTCTTAGTCCTTGTGGGTGTTTGTTTGGGACCCCCATTAAAACAAGATCATACATCTCAAGGTGTTCATCCTGAGATAATAAATTAATTTTAGGGAAGGTAGTGATGGTAGAAGTACATAGATCCTATAAGAAAAAGTAACAATATAAAAATGTAAAAGTAAACGTCCTGCTTTTGAAATCCTACTCAATTAGTAATACAGTAGTATATCAAAAGTAAAATTTGTTCCAAAAAATTGCTCATGTGACTGATATATTATATATTCCATTATTGAATTCATAATACTAATGCAATATGTTAGTAGCATTTTACTGTTCTAGTCTTAACTACTTTATATAAAGTTTGGGGTTGTGGGATGTTAAATGGGGCACAAAAGAAGAAAAACCTAAATTCTGCATCAAAAGGATTTTTTCAGATCATTCTCTCATCTGCGTTTTTTAAATATGGGATACTTTTATCTATTTGGTCCTTGAATAGTTAAATAAAAACATCTGAAAAAGTTTGGAGATAATGAAATATAAAATAAATTATATAATATATAAAATATAAAAAATCATTTTTATATACTGCTTTTCAGTCCTGGGGTTTACAACTGCTCATATCAATTCCTATTTTATTACTGTGGCTGACCTAGTATGCTTTAAAGTTAGTTCATCTTCAGGATATATGGTCGGATCACACAGAGAAAGAAAAATGTCAGTCGGGCAAACCACTCACAAATCACGTTGCAGTGTGTATTCATACTTTGCACGTGACGTCACAACTACTAGCTGGCAGGCAAGAACATCGTTCTCCAGCAACGAAACCCAGTAAACTAATCGAGGATCTTGCCAGGACGTCGCCAGTTTTACTATACAAAAGTATATATATATATATATATATATCATATGTACGTGATTTGATATGATATGATGAGAGGAAGAATACATGTTACAGTACACACGTTACTGTTGTACTGCGTCTACTTACTTACTTACTTACTTACGTACAGTAACTTTGCATACATACTATGGTACAGTTATTACTACTACATTAACGTTACAACCTAACAGATTGCTAACAGGATTAAAGGCATTTCGCTGCCCGAGCTGCTCTTGTCTGTTGTCTGATGATAAGCAGGTAGGCTACAATGTTTGACATCCTGCTAGCCATATTTGATACAGCATAGTATAAGGTTTTTTTTTAAACTAACGTTACTTATCAAGCTGTCATTCGCCGGCAGGCAGGATGTACATATTCAGATGAAGACTTCATCACATGACGGAACAGATGTCACTTTGTGTATAGCTACAAACATGCAAACATTAGCAAACGTTAGCGGGTAACGTTAGCTATCCGTACTTTTGTAGCCTTTCATTTTTTGTGCGGTGTAAGGTGACGGATATATGTAAATATATATGTTTCTTGCCCGCCAGGTAACCATGGTAATCACGTGACTGCAAAGTATGAATAGCAAGTGGCTGACCTGATGTCCTTGAATGGGTTTTTCCTCTTCAGTCTAAATAATTTGCACTCTATTTGCATGACTTCGTTTTGCGTGTGTGCAATGGTGAGTAAGCTACTGTAGATATGTGTACCAGTAAGTTATAAATAATGTGAACACACGATAGGAACAATTTCAACACGCAAATTAAACTAAACTTCCCGATAGTTCCACCAAAAGAGCAGTGACAAGGAGAGTGTTTGAGATTCGGCCAGTGTAAAAAGTGAACAAGAATGTCAGGTGTGAATGTAAATGTAGCTCTCCTCTGAATGGTTGGCTTGTGCCTCTACCAAACACATACGAGAGATGTTAGAGCCACTGCAGGTCTAAAGCAGTTGCAGCAGTGATGCTCTTTATAGCAACTATCATAACACTATCTGAAACTATACAGTCTGTGTAATTTGCCTTACCATCAACATTTAGACATACACAACTGATCAATGTGTCTTTGTTCTTTTACCTTAAGTTTGTTGTGTTTTTTTCTGGTGCCAGCAGATGAGCTGTATCCTATTGTAATACCTATTTTTAGTTAACTATCTGAACCTGAATGTGTATGCCTATTAACTGATGAGACATTAACTAGGGATGCCCCCTGACTGTCGTCTTAACTGCTAGTTGCGGAGAAGAGTCTTAGTTGACCCAGAAAAACAACTGGAAATGCCATTTGGGAGCTGCACCTTGTCGACTATGACTCAGGATGAAGAATTAATGAATTCATTTTTTGAAGTAACTGTTAAGGTTATACACCATCCATCGTATAGTATGAAACAAATCCTCAAAATTGATGAGGATTTTTATAATAACCACTAATTCATCCCAGAGCCACTGTTGTGAGCGTTGGTCAAAAAACTCAATGCTCAAAGTCTGTTTACTTGCAATTGAATATTTATTTCAGCATCCTTTGCACTATTGTCTACTGTCTACAAATGTTATTGTTTTTGTTTCTTTATATGTGTATAACAGTACATAGTAGTTTATGTCTCTTTTGTTGAGCTTGTTGTCCTGTTTATTTATGCTGTCAGTCTGTGTTTGTATATTGAGAGCAACATAAATCAATTTCCTTGTATGTGTGCACATAATCACACATACATCAATACAAGTGATTCTGATTCTCATAATAATTCATAGACAAATGTTTTTTGAATTGGTTCTTAAGCCAAAAAAGGTTGTAAAGCACTGGTTTAATCTTTAATATTATGAATTAATATTTGTGTTTTATAAATCATCAAATGCCTATTTTAATGTAAAACCTTATTTTGAAAAGTAACTAATAGCTAATAGCTGTTATACATATGTAGTGGAGTAGAGTGGCTGACCTCATATGCTTTAAAGTTAGTTCCTCTTCATTCTAAATAATTTGCACTGTATTTGCATGACTTCGTTTTGCGTGTGTGCAATGGTGAGTAAGCTACTGTAGATATGTGTACTAGTAAGTTATAAATAATGTGAACACACGATAGGAACAATTTCAACACGCAAATGAAACTAAAGCTTCCTGATAGTTCCACCAAAAGAGCAGTGACAAGGAGAGTGTTTGAGATTAGGCCAGTGTAAAAAGTGAACAAGAATGTCAGGTGTAAATGTAAATGTAGCTCTCCTCTGAATGGTTGGCTTGTGCCTCTACCAAACACATACAAGAGATGTTAGAGCCACTGCAGGTCTAAAGCAGTTGCAGCAGTGATGCTCTTTATAGCAACTATCATAACACCATCTGAAACTATACAGTCTGTGTAATTTGCCTTACCATCAACATTTAGACATACACAACTGCTCAATGTGTCTTTGTTCTTTTACCTTAAGTTTGTTGTGTTTTTTTCTGGTGCCAGCAGATGAGCTGTATCCTATTGTAACACATATTTTTAGTTCACTATCTGAACCTGAATGTGTATGCCTATTAACTGATGAGACATTAACTAGGGATGCCCCCTGACTGTCGTCTTAACTGCTAGTTGCGGAGAAGAGTCTTAGTTGACCCAGAAAAACAACAGGAAATGCCATTTGGGAGCTGCACCTTGTCGACTATGACCTCAGGATGAAGAATTAATTAATTAATTTTTTTAAGTAACTGTTAAGGTTATACACCATCCATCGTATAGTATGAAACAAATCCTCAAAATTGATGAGGATTTTTATAATAAGCACTAATTCATCCCAGAGCCACTGTTGTGAGCGTTGGTCAAAAAACTCAATGCTCAAAGTCTGTTTACTTGCAATTGAATATTTATTTCAGCATCCTTTGCACTATTGTCTACTGTCTAGAAAATGTTATTGTTTTTGTTTCTTTATATGTGTATAGTAGTTTATGTCTCTTTTGTTGAGCTTGTTGTCCTGTTTATTTATGCCAGTCAGTCTGTGTCAGTCTGTGTTTGTATATATCACGCAAATGAAACTAAAGCGTCCCGATAGTTCCACCAAAAAGAGAGTGTTTGAGATTTAGCCAGTGTACGAGATACACAAGTGTACACATATGAGAGATGTTAGAGCACCTGCATGTCTACTTGCAGTCAACATTGACTCCTACTGCCTCTGGTGTTCACAGCAAGAAAAGCAGAGAAGAAAATAAATGTGTGTGTGTGTGTGTGTGTGTGTGTGTGTGTGTGTGTGTGTGTGTGTGTGTGTATTATGTGTGCAAACATATAATGCACAAGAAACAAACAACTGATTATTTGCTTTTATTTCATTAGTAATGCTGATTGATACAGCACAAATGGTTATAGTAACTAAGAATCTTAAAACATGAGCTTCACATAAGTGTCAGATGCAGTTATACCTAAACCTTTGCACATGCCACAATAATGTTTTTATCTTTTGTAAAGGGTGGGAGGGTTGTGTTGTCAACCCCACAGTGCAAACACCCCAAACAACCAGTAAGTGTCAGTGCAGCAGCAATGACAAGAACCCTCCCCTGTCATCCCAGCCTTTTAACAGTGTTGGAAAATAAGTAAGTACATTTACTCAAGTACCTTACTTAAGGTTACTATTTCCTCTTTATGCCCTTTGTTATTTCGTTTACTTTATACTTCAACTCAATCACATTTCAGAGAGGAATATTTTACTTCTTATTCTATTTTGATACGTTAAGTACATTTTGCAGATAATTCTTTTACACTAAACATCAATGCATTATATTTCCACTGATTATAATACTGAGACACTGAGTTCATTTTGAAGTGCTATTTACTTTGTCTGTTAGTGGAAATTAAATCAGGATAAACCATTTAGTAGGGTGAAAAGTCTATTGAATTGGTGGCATTGGCTCACTGAACATCCTATGTGGTGTTCACATTTAAACACAAGATCCAGATTTTTTGTTATGGTAGATTAATAAGAAATAAATTAAAACATTTAACTTACATCATTAATGCATCCACAATCTGGCCTTATTTTCTCTTTTCTTTGGAGGAAGAGCAGAGTTGTTCTAACTAAAAATGCCAAGTAGTAATAATCGAGTAAAACATGTTTGATTACCTTGCAGTTGCTGGTCATTGATGATTTTGTTCGTAACAAATTAACTGAGTGGGGTCTCGCTGAGCTGATTGAAAGACTTAAAGGTAAAGTATTCCGATGCTTCTTTTTGGAATGACCAACCTCGAAGCATCTACTCATGCAGACATAAAACATGCTGCAACATTGCAGTACAATACTGACATATCCTTGAAAGACAGTTTTAGAAAATGGGAGAGATCAGTGTTCATCATCATGCAAGTTTTTGTCTGTGTATGCAGTGTATAAAAGCACTCACAATAAAAACCTTGTATATTTGCCAACAGTTTAAGGAACACTTTATTATCCTGAGAGTTACTGCTGTTCATTAGCATCTTCATTAGACTGAGAACTGAGAAGTGACAAAATATTCAACATGCATTCAGCTCATACAACCACCAATTTCATAAGGAGTAGGGTCTAGACCTGCTCTATATGAAAAGTGTCCTGAGATAATGTCTGCTATGATGTGGCACTGTAGAGAAAAAAAGGACTTGAATTGAATAATGCGCTCTGTGAGGTTGTAATGCACTAAAAAAAAGTAAAACTATTGAACCTACAGATATTTCACTCCATAAGAAACTGATTTCTGCACCTATTTGAAATTAATTCATTCTCAATTTTTCTTTTTTGTTCAATTACAGATGAAGGCATTGAAAAGGAAAGTCTTTACCTTCTTGATGATCTAAAAATTGATAGCTTGATCCCCCTTTGACTTAAGAATTGTCTCATTGGGTGACAGTGTTGTTGACTGTGGAAAAAATATGTTCCAGTGATCATTTGTTGTACCCTTTCTGGACTCTACATTCCAGGGTCATCCCTGATTGGATGATAATATAAATGCAAATATTGTTGTGTGCAATGTTAAGATGTTTGTTCAAGCCTGTCGAAACCTGTTAGAGGACAAAACCTGTGTGAATGTAAGTTCTTGATAGAGTGAAATGTTCATATTCATCCTCAGGATTTGCCGTCCACCAGTAAGTGATAAAGGTGAGATACACAGTATCCTATTGATTACATGTAGAGTTCATTTTCAAGGTATTCATTTCTCGAACAGCTATACTGAGACCATGTTTTAATATTGTGAGAGGATGATCCGACATACTTTTGTTTTTGGTTTCTTTTTGTATTAAAAAAAAACAAGAAGGAAAGCGAAAGTTGGATCTTCAGGGCGAGTCTAGCAGACGGTAATCACAGACTAAGAAACCACAACACGACACTATACCTGGATCATACAGAGGTATATACAGTATATTACTATCTAAACAATGGCAATCTACTGTAGGGTTAAAACTTGCAATGTCATTTTTTTACCTCTACTTCTTTGCATTCACTCACAGAAAAATTCATACTGTATGAAGTGAAAAAGATCATGAGATGGGTCAATGAGAGAATACCCAAACAAGACAACAAAAAGCTCAATTCTTTCCTGAAGTAAGTACTACAGTGGTCTGTAGTGTTGTCTTAATTTTGCTCTTAGATTAGTGTAAGTGCAGGTTCACAAAAATACATCCTGAGATATTTCAAGCCAATCTACGATTTCAATGCACATAAGGCAAAAAAAATAAAAAATACAGTTTATGGTCATTCATACTTTAAATGGTGCTTCATAGCCATCATGAATCAAGCTTCATACCCAACTAAAGTCAAGCCAAACCAGCTTGATTTTACTGTTAATAAATAATTCACCAAAAGCTTTTCACCAAAATGTAAAAATTACATTTGCTTGGTTAAAAAAATATTAGCAGGTCCTTTGTTGTCAGCATTAGTTACAACCAGAAGCTAAATAGCTATTATGTACTTGCTTGTGCACCAGCAAGCTTTCAAAAAACACAAAACCAAAGGTGTTTAATTTACAAGCCTAATAAGTACAAACAATGACAGCAGAGGAATTTTCCAACTGGAGATCTGTCAGCCACTCAGTCAGGAAACCGTGCACAGTTGGTTGTTTTTTCGTAAAATGAAGTACCCTGCTGAGACAGTTGATATTGGTCGACAAACACAAAGTCATGTGTAAAAGTGTACCAAAGCTGAACTCAATTTGAGAGCACTGCAAATATTGACCACCTTAGCTAGCAAACATGATTATTCATCCAAATGAACCAGTGTTGTTAGTCAAAGTCTATATAGTCTTGAACTTCAAAACTTGTTTTGATTTTGGTAAGGTTGTCCCATAAGTCGGCTAAACCGTTGACAAGAAGAGTTTTAGTCAACGCACCTACCTACCTACCAACTTTTTGCAGAAATCAAGCGTCACTGTTTCTGTACATTAGACAGATCACTAATATACAACTTCCCTTAGAATTTTGGGGATGGTGTTGACTCATTCTTTTTAGTGTTTGTATATTTTCCAAATGAATCAATTTACACATATTTAAATTCTTCTATAACAGGACTAAAATCAGCAAGTTGGAGACAGACAAGAGGGAGATGGTCAGTGTCTTTGGTAAAACTGGGGCTGGAAAAAGCTCTCTGATAAATGCTGTCAGTGGACGGAAGAATCTCTTGCCCTCTGGAAGCATCAATGCATGTACCTCAGTCATGATTAAAGTGGAGGCAAACATGCAGAAGAAATATGAGGCAGACATTGAGTTCATTACAAAAGAGGTAAAATGAGCTGCATGTGTTAATATTTACTTGAAACTAGTGCTACAAACATACAGTTGCTGGTTATATTACAACCATGTTATTCAATTAAGTTTTCATTATTATGTTTTTTAGGAGTGGAAAGATGAGTTGTGGTTCTTGTTGAATTTCCTTGGAGATAATGAACCTCAGGAAAAGGACAACGATGATAAAGTTGATGATGATGATGATGATGATGATGATGACGAGGATGAGGATGAAGATGATCAGGACACTGATGAAAAGCTGTCAGCGCTGTATGGAGAAGAATGGAAAAACAAAAACCTTGAAAACCTCATGGATCACAAACATGTCAAAGAAATCCCAGAATTTCTCCATTCCAAGAGGAAGATTTTGACATGTGAATCAGTAAATTGTATATTTAGGTAGTTTATATTAAGTCATAAATGAAAATGTTATGTATAGTTTTATATAGATATTAGTTCAAAAGCTCAACAAATTATGTAAAAGTAAAATCAGTATATAAAATGCAGTCTCTACCAGTAAAAAAATTAATTTATACAGTATAACTTCTTTGACAAATTGCAGTCATTTTGCCTCAATCATTGTGGACTGCTCACTGTCAGTGGTGAACACAAAACACAGGGAAGTAGCATTATGCTACTATGATACACATATAACCTCCTGGATAACTCAAGGCACTGTCACAATCTGATCATGTTTGCAATTCAAACAACTGTTCACTATTGCCCAGTTTTTCTCTGACCATAACAATTTGAAAACCTCTGTTTCAGAGATTAATTTCACCTAAGCCTTGTGCCTATACAAATCTCAATTGAAAGCCTTGATTGTCATCAACAAGATTAAGGTACTGTTCTGATTTTGTGGTTTCGATATGTTCTGTTTTCTGGCTGTCTGAACTCTGATGGATTTATCATCTCTTGATCAATTAATCATTGATCATAGAAAGCAAGAGCAAGGAAGAATTATCTGCATTGCAGTGTTTACATGCCACAGTATCTTGTGGTAGCTATCATGGTGTTTACATTAAAAAAACCTGATCATAACGAGAAACTTCCAGTTTGGTCTAAAAAAATGATCGCCACAGGATATTCTATTGTAATGTTTTTATATTGGGTTGTGGATATGAGCTCAACACAAATAACTAAACCAAAATAGTTGTCTCTAACTTCCTGTCTCTGTTTTCTGATGTTTTTCTGTCAAATGATTATCAAATAATTAAATTGTTTTGTACATGTACTTTTATTCTGAGGGGAGATGCAAAAAATGTTTTTCATATCAAATGTCAGGTTACAGTAATACTGTATGACATGTCACATGATACAAATATTTTCTTATAGTTCAGCAGATCATGTTCGTGCTTGCATACTTGAAAGAAACACGCAAGCCAAGCAAAAAGTGAAAAAAAATTCAACAAACTCAACTATGTTAAGGTAAGTTTTATAGATTGACATACTTCACTCAAAATGCACAATTATGTAATTCCACTGGCCCATGTTTGGGTGAGTTAGATGTGCAAGAGTAGTCTTTCATGTCACTGTTTATGACACGCTGCTAAAAAGATTGTGCAGAGAGTAAACCCAGTTCTCCAGGCACTACTGCCTACAACTGCAAGCTTGCCTTGACATCATTCTTTTTTCTTTTCAGAAACATTTCAGTGATGACTGTTTGGAAGTGTTCACAGTGAGCTCCAAAGAGTTTCTAAAGCAAAAACATCTAAACTCAGACGACACTGGTAGGTCTCTCTCTCTCTCTCCCTATATATATGAGCACTTAATTGATAACAGAAAGTACAAAGCTCAAATACATATTTTGTTTTAGTTAACTTTAATTTAAACACAAATAAATAATTGGATTATGAAATTGAAATTTAAGCAAGTAATGTAAATATGTCAACTGCATTTTTTTTACAGAAATACCCAAACTGCAGGAATTTCTGAAAGATCTCAATGACTGTCACTCAGAGACATTAAACTATGTGTCTGGAGCTTATGGGATTCTCTCTCTGATCCAAGGGTCCCACTGTAGAGAAGTGGTAATACCGAGTAACATCTTTATTTTGTCTTTTATTGTCGTGATTGTGATTGTCATTAATTAAGTAGTCAAAAAATAATAAAGAACTGAAGAACACTTAAAAGATTATATTAGCACACAACAGTGTGCTAATGTGCATGGCACATTCAGATTGCACACATTCATTGCTTGACTTACTGAATGTGTTGTGTTTGATTTCAGGTTGCCCAAAAAACAGAGGTGTGCACAATCCTTGAAGACAAGATGAGGCAGGAACTTGAAAAAGTCAGAAAACCCATGGAAGAGGCTCATAAGGCTTTTGAAAAATGCCTAAGTGAGGGGGTTGAACAATCAAAACGTTCATATGAAAGAGTCCTGAAGTCGTTCTTATATGTTGTATGTATTTGTTTGAATTATGATTACATAAAAACAACTGATTTTGCACTTTATATTAATATGTTAAGTGTCTTAATATTCTGAGATTATTTTTTGTTTATGTTTTAGAAGAAAAAAGGTAGCGGTTTTCACAGGACATTGAAGTGTGTGGTTCAGAACAATGGCACATACACACCAAAGAAAGGGAAACAAATAAACCTGAATGTGGACTTGGCTTCACGCCTGACTGACAGCATTGATGATGAATTCAAAAAGACCTTCCCGTAAGAGAAGATTTAATGAAGACATAAAACCCTTGGTTGACCCATTTTAAAACTATAGAGAATCGTAATGAATGAATGATATAATATAATACATATATACAAATTGCATTATCAAAATACAAACTTGTCTTTTATGAAACATTTCAACTTAACATGTTTCAGAAACGAAAGAAAATATGGACCATTGTCGAACTGCAACTGACATTTCTCAAGACGGAGGTAAAAGATGAGAACACTACTATCCTATCCATTAGTCCATTATCATGCTGTTTGTCCAGGGAGACTTTAGGGTGAGCAATTAACCCAAACATCAAGTTTGTGACTGAATACTAAATATTGAATTAAACACAATAAATTTATATTTTGAACTGTTAACATAATAACATGGTATATGAATAATGCTATTAATATAAATGTTGGTAGCAATGCAGATAAAAACTAAATGCCACAGGTCCTAAAATAAAAATATATATATTTAAAAAGATATTTTGCATTTGCTACTAAAAACACTGCAGGTCAAAAACATACAACTATTATTAATCTTATGATGATGTAGCTATTAACCCCTTGTATACATTTAATCATGTAGGATTCAATTAATCTTGAATACAATATTTTGCTGTGTGAGTAATGATACAAATTTTGATGCTGAATTAGGAGGATATCCTGAAGACACTGGAGACAACAATGCAGGAATCAATCAACCATTCACTCAAACAGATGGGGACTCAATCCTAGATAAAGGGAATGTAGCAAAATGATGATAATTTACTAAAAATACAGTGAATATTTTATTAAAATGAATAAATTAGGAAATTACCAATAGTGTAATTAATTGTGCACTCGAAAATAACATGTTTTCTTTTTAAGATGTTACAGTGGAGCTTGCAAAAGTGAAGAAACACTACAATGAACCGATGGGCCCTGATGAAATAACACTAACTTGGTAAAACATTAAAATGTCAACATAACCGCCTGATAATAAGATGTTCTGAATAATGCTAACCATGCTTTTAATTACACTGGCCCAGAAGCTAATCCACCAAGCCCAGCAACTGCACTGTATCCATGAGTGCAGAGGTACATTTTAGTAAAACTGATGATCTAACTGATGATTTAAACAGAAGCCAGCATAGATAATACTACTATTATACTTTTTATTATACTACTACTATAATACTACTGTTTGTCATCATTGTTCAATATCCCTATCTTGCTGATCTCTTTGGTGGATGTTTCAGACAGAAGTCCTCTTTGAGTGTTGTTTTGATATGTACTTTGAGTTTGATGTGTGAACTGATATCTCCCATACATTATTTTTGTAGCAATAATATTAAATTAATTCTAGATTGAGCTTTTCCCTATAATATATATATATATTATTAATATGAGGGTGAAAACCACTGTCATTTAAGAAAACCTATCAGTGTCAAAATAACTGAAAAATGACTGTGATGAAGAAATAGATCAAAAAAGACTAAAATATTGTCAATAAAAAGAAAAAAAGGGGACTTCCGGTGACGCCATGGGTGTGCTTGCAGCATCATAATTTAGCTCCACATGACAACATTAAAGATAAGAGTGACAGCTACAATATTTTGACGCTGAAACATAAAAGATAGATTCATGAAACATGAGTTCCTCCGCTGGTCAAAGGAGACAGGATAAACCTGACCCCTCACAGGGAAAAGAAGATTATAAGCTGAATCCACAGAGCCCAACTAGCAAAACCGAGTCTGACTGACAGCAACACGTGTCAGTCAGACTCAACGCTAATGGAGGAGTTAAAAAAACTCAAGACACTAAATTGGCCCTTAGCCGTGTGGAAAAAACTATTTCGGACATAAAGGACCAGCTGGTGGAACACAAAGAGAGAATGGGAGGACTGGAGGAGAGGTTTGATGAGGCCGAGGATGCGGAGATGCGGCACCGCACTAAACTGTATAAAAATATAAAGACATTAATACAACCAGATCAGACGGGATTCATATTAGGATGTCAAGTAACATATAACATAAATAGAGCCCTGAACCTGCAGGCAATAGCGGCAGGTTACAACAAATTAATTGAACAAATAAAAAATTATGTGACGCGTTGGGAGGTCCTTCCCCTTTCTTTAATTGGCAGAGTAGAATCAGTAAAAATGAACATATTACCTAGACTTCTTTTTTTGTTTCAATCTCTTCCTGTAAGAGTACCTGCTTCCACTTTAAACATGTTGGACTAACTAATCTCAACATTTATTTGGCAAAAGAAGAGACGGGAGGTCTAGGTTTGCCAAACCTTAGAAATTATTATTGGGCTGCACAAATGAATGCAATAGTGGCATGGATCGGAAATGACCGGGAAGCAATATGGACTCAGATAGAGCAGGATTCGGTTAGGGGCATTTCCTTATCAGTACTACCACTTATTGATACAAAGTCAGTCAGTAAGATCAAAATAAAGAACAAATGGATAAAACACACTTTAAAAGTCTGGACAACAGTGAAAAAAATGCTCAGGGGGCCGGAGTTGATCTCAAGGGCCATGTTGATAGTAGGAAATATAGAATTCCCACCTTCCGTGTGGGATGGCGGGTTTAGAAGGTGGGCTGATAAAGGACTCAGATTTTTAAAGAGACAGAATTCAAATCATTCTCTCAACTTCAAGAACAATTTGACCTCCCATCAAAGGATTTGTATAGGTACCTCCAGATAAGACACTATATCATAAGTCATAAGGAAAGGGAGCTGGTCAGCAAAAACCCAAATGAAATAGTACTTATTATATTATTATAGTACTTTATTAGTGTTCTGGAGAGGCATTTCCCAACAAAAAAACATATAACTGGCAGTTCACAAAACACGGACTACATTAAAGGAAAAATGGGAATTAAAATTGAATGTTATAATTGAAGATTTTACATGGATGGACATATGGACAAGTTGTGATAAGGGAATTAGTAGCCAACTGTGGAAAGAATTTGACTGGAAGGTAAAGATCAGATTTTTTAATACTCCCTTTATCATCTATGTGGAAATTTTGGAGACACCACACACATTTTTTGGGATTGTCCTGCAATACAAGGATTTTGGGATAATGTTAAAAAGGAAATTGATATTATTTTAGAGGTAGATGTCACTCCAGAACCTATGTTGTTTTTGTTGGGAGCCATACACAAAGACCTATATAATGCAGATCAGCGATATATACTGAGGATTATTTTATTAGTAGCAAAGAAAATGATTATAGTGAACTGGAGGGATGTAAAACCACCAACAATAGGTCAATGGGTCCAGAGACTGAAAAATATATACATGATGGAGCGAATGACGGCAAGTCTGCAGCTAACTATGGACACTTTTGAGTCAAAGATGGACTTGTATTTCAAGGTACCTGGGGGTTTGATGGATGGGATGATGTGATGGAGTACTGTTGGGAAGGGATGCCTATCTAAATTCCTCTTTGGAAAATCTTGCTTAGCTACTATTTACAGATATTTGCTCCTCTGCCTGTTGTTGTTATTGTCACTATTATTAATATTATAACTATTCTATTTTTATTTCATTTATCTTATTTTCTTTACACACTTTTTTCTATTTTGCTTCATATTTACTTATTTAATCTATTTTCATACTTTCTTTTTATGTATTAATTATATATACCTCTTTATTCCATTTTTTTCTTTTGTTTGTTTGTTTATTCTTATTGTGATTTATACTGCATGTCATTTGTTTATTACCTGTATACATTTGTCAGGAAATGTTATATAAAACTAGAAAATTCCTAAAGAAATTTTGATTGTGCCTTGCTCTGGCCCATATGTTAATACCATGTCTTGCTCTCTAGCACGCTAGCGCTAGCATATTAATGCCATGTAATCCTCCCTATAGCATATTGGTAACCTGTCATCCTCCTTAGCTAGCGCTAGCATATTAATATCATGTCATTCTCTTTAGCTAGTTAGCTAGAGCCAGCACACATAAACACATTAACCAAAGCTAGCGCTTAGCTACGTGCTAACCGCTAGCTATGCGCTAATCGCTAGCTAAGTGCTAGCTTTGGTTAATGTGTTTAATTGTATTATGCTACTGAAGGAGTGCTAATGTAAATTAAGGAACAGCTCATAGTAGGGTAAAATATTTAAGGTGCTAGTATATTAATACCTTGTCATTCTCTTTAGCTAGCTAGAGCTAGCACACATAAACACATTAACCAAAGCTAGCGCTTAGCTACGTGCTAACCGCTAGCTATGCGCTAATCGCTAGCTAAGTGCTAGCTTTGGTTAATGTGTTTAATTGTATTATGCTACTGAAGGAGTGCTAATGTAAATTAAGGAACAGCTCATAGTAGGGTAAAATATTTAAGGTGCTAGTATATTAATACCTTGTCATTCTCTTTAGCTAGCTAGAGCTAGCACACATAAACACATTGACCAGAGCTAGCGCTTAGCTACGTGCTAATCGCTAGCCAACCGCTAATCGCTAGCTAACTGCTAATCGCTAGCTAACCGCTAATCGCTAGCTAAGTGCTAGCTTTGGTTAATGTGTGTAATTGTATTATGCTCCTGAAGGAGTGCTGATGTAAATTAAGGAACAGCTCATAGTAGGGTAAAATATTTAAGGTGTATTGTTCTTATTTTGTGTTAATATTAAAATCATTCAGCTTTAAATTGTTTGCTTGTTAGCCACCTTCTAATTATCTTTAGCTAGCCAGCTAGCGCTAGCTTATTATTGTCTTGTCATTCTCTGTAGCTAGCTGTGTGTGTGTGTGTGTGTGTGTGTGTGTGTGTGTGTGTGTGTGTGAGCAGGCTTTGGTTGTCATGGCAATCAGGGGAGCCCACAGCAGCTGCGCACACTCTCTCTCTGTCTCTAACTCCTCAGAGAGACAGAAACATTTAAAATGAATCCAAATTTATTTTTCGACAAATTTTTCTCTCTCCCCACACTCTAG